AAAAGGAAGAAGCTCTTGCTATTTTAGGTAGACTGTATGTCGTACTTCGCGGGCATCAACTTTATGCTTTTAAAGTACGTCACTATTACTAAAAGAGTATAACCATTATACTTATTTAGTATGGACTTACTTTAAACTAAAAAAGCATTATTTCATACTTTAATAGGTAAACGAAATCGCATACTAATAAAGGATAAAGCAGTTTGGTGCTAAAATAGTTAGTTTGTTTTTTCCGTGTACTAAAGAAACTCGACCAAAATTTAAATGTAAACCATGTTTATGACAACACACTATCTATACGCATGCGCATTTATACTTACACAGCAACTAAAAATGTGATTTTTTATGCTAAAAAACATTAAAAAATTCAAAATTTATAATTATTACAATTATTGTTCGGCAACATTTGAAAAATAACACTTGATAAGAGAACGACTATTCAAATTTTCCTCCAAATTGTTTTTTTGTTATGACGAAATTATGACGTATGATCAGCAGTACTGTAAACGTAAAAAAAAATAATAACAATTTTTTATATGAAACTTGACATCGTATTATAAAAATGTAAAATATTATTAAAATATAAGTGTTTTGCAACATTTGTTAACGTTATTTAATGCAAAACATATATATTTATAAAGTATGAAGCAGAATATTATTATTGAAACAAATATTCATTATTTAATAATAGGTGTCCCACTGTTTAACACAAACCTTGAAAACAAGAAAAATGTATCAAGTTCCAAAAACTTGAAATTTTTCTATTTAATAACAATATAATTTAAATAGAATATATGCATTATGTGGAAAAGAGTTCAAACTTTATGGTAATTCCAAAAAGTGGACAAAAATATATAAAATTGAAAAAAAGTGATCTTATGCCATTTTGAATTGTCTAGATAGAGAAACGCAATGTTAAACGAAGGAAGTACTTATGTTATATTCCTTGGTGTAAGAAAGAAAGGTATGCATTACCTATTCAGTTTTAGACTTTGTTTATAGTTTTTTCACGTGATAAAGGGACAAAGAAATTATTACCTGGGTCCTCAGAGTTATTAATTAATCCTCTTTAAAAGATTGCAGGTCAAGCGAACCCTCATTTGCAAAATAAAGATATATCTTTCTCTCTCCATAACTTGTTCTTTTCTCTGTCACCGAAAACCCAGCAGGGGTCCGGACGGAATGAATGAATGAAGGAATGAATTCAAAGATTATTATAGTTAATTTTTTTTTGTACAACTGGAATAATTAGATAATCAACCTATTATAAAAATTCGATTTGAAATTCTGTCGATGTTTTTTTTTTTTTTCTTTTTTTTCTCTCACCCAATGTAATAAAATTGTAATTTGTCAGGTTTCTCTTCGAGATTGCTATCTCGTCGACGTGAGACTGCTATTAGATTACTTCTTGCGGCATTTTTACGTCGATAGGAAGAAATCTTTCCTTAACGATCAAACTGCGAGAGAAGAATTTTGAAATGAAAAGGGGAACATATTTTTGCCCGTGAAAGTTAATCAAAAATTAGATAATAACGAATATAATATGAAAATGAATTGGAGACTTTTTTTTTTGAATCTCTCAAAATTGTTGAATTTTTTGTGGTTTTCAATATATATTTTACCGTCCGACACAATTTTTGACCCGGAAAAAAATCTAATATTTTCGGAAACTAGGACCCAAAAAAAAGAAACCCGTTTCTGGCTGTTTTGCTAGATCAAGTCGTTTGTGGTTTTTAGGGGTGAAAACAATCCCTAAATGAAAAGTGACAATTATTAATATTTTATAAAACTTGGTATCTGTGGGTTTTCGGGGTCACTGATTATTAATCTGATGTCAGATTTTCAAAATTCAAAATGGCGGATTCAATATGGCGGCCAAATTTTAAAATAGTTATTAATTTTTTATTTTATATCCGCCATTTTGAATTTTGACAATTTAACATCAGATTCGTCATCAACGACCCCAAAAAACCCCTAGATACCAAGGTTTAAAAAAAAAATTAATAACTTTTTAAAATTTTGACCGCCATATTGAATACGCCATTTTGAATTTTGAAAATCTGACATCAGATTAATAATCAGCGACCCTGAAAACCCCAAGCAAAACGGTCAGACACGGGTATTTTTTTTTTGGGTCCTAGTTTCCAAAAATATTGCACTCAGAAAAAAGATATATGTTTGAACCAAATGTACCATTTTTTTATATTTACCCAATTTTTTGGTTAGTTGAAACAAAATTTGTTTAATTCAAATAAATATTTATTTGATCTAAATAACTGTTTGGTTTATTTTAATAAATTTTTGGAACAAAGAAAAAATTTGATTGAGCTAAATAAACGTTTGGTTTATGCAACCAAATGTTTGGTTAACTGTATATCAATGCATTTATTTTGTTGATTTAACCAAAATTTGGTTGCTTCAAGCGAATTTTTTTCTGAGTGTGGATTTTTTTGTGGGTCAAAAAAAAAGTTGAATTTTGTCGGACGGTGTTTTACAGTGGAGAATTTTTTATATAGACACATTTTTTTTTATGATGGAGAAATATTTCTTTTTCAATTTTGCCCTATATATAAGAATATGACAAGTTTGACAAGTGAAGTGTAGTAAAAGTGCCATGATATGAATAATAAATGGTTTTGAATTTACACTATTACTATACATATAGGTATTGATAAAGTATTTAATGCATTTCATTTTTTATTCACTTTTTAAAAAATATAAAATTAAAACTTTATAAATGTAAATCTATTTTCATGGCTAGCATCATAATATAGCATATGCATTTAATGTTTTGATATCATCACACATTAGAGTTTGCACGTGATCACGATTTTGGCATAAATAATCGTAGAAAACCGATAGAATCTCTCACAATCTGTGACAATGTAACATTACGTGATGGGAGTTAAAATTTTTATCGAATCTCTTTGAATATATTGCTGATTAATGTTTGAAAGTTTTCTCGCCGCACTTTTGAAAAAAAAGATTTACATTTTTGAATTATTTTTCTTTTCAATTTCTATATCTTGTGATGAAAAAAAAAGATTTAAAAAAAAAAAAAAAGTTTAATTAGCGCCAGAGATTTTAGCGTCACGTAACAAAATCGATTTTCTTGATATCGTTGCTGTCCGGTTGTGGACATTAAAATTAAATTATCGCTTTTACGCGAGACAGTCTGTGAGAATTATGTATATATATATATATATATATATATATAAAATGTGTGCGAGTTGATTTTTCTAACGAAGCAGAAAATCAATAATTTTTCTCTCTCCCATCATTCTGTGTGAAAGTCTGAATAAATGAACCATCAATATTTTAATTTGCTTTTTTTCACACTTGCGGTGATAAAACGATGAATTAGTAATTATATTTAGAAAATGGTTTGTAGTCGCGACAAAAAAACAAAATTTTTTTTTTGCAATTAAATATAAAAATATATTGTAATTTTTATTTATATTTTCCATATATATTCAATTATTTTTTCATTATTAAAATGAAAAAATCTAATTCCTTTTTTTAATCAGAGAAAAATAATTGTTCTTTTTGCCTTTTTTAATTGAAGAAAAAAAAAATATAATATAAGGGGGAAAAGAAAATTTTTATCGAGAAAGTGCAATAAATCTTCTCAGAGAACGTGAAGATTATATGAAAAGAGGGAAAAATCTGGCTTTATATATATATATATACACACACAGTGGAGAGTGGCACCCAAGGGGGTTGGGGACCGCGCGCGTATAGATCATTATTTTGCATACTTTTCTTTTGCGGCCGGAAAGTGGAAAATGGAGGTGTCGGAAAATGCGGGCAGAGGGTTATGTATATATATATATAAAGAAAATGATGCACACACGAAACAAGAGTTTACGTAATAGTAAACGACGCTACGCGAAATGTTTCTTGACAAAGATTTATTATCATTGATGTGCGGTGACAGCACAAAACATGATGAATTGAGTTTCACTTCTTGCCTGTCTCTACGTGTGACACCTTTCTCATATATATATATATATATATAGTATACCTCTTAACCCAATAGAGTTTTAATTAATCGTTACCGGATTAATTTGTCACTTGTAGCTATACCATCACTTTTATTTCCAATCGGAAAATGTAATTTTAATCGTTTTTGAATTTCTTTTTTTGCTGTTAAAAAAGTATTTTAAAAATTTATTTTATAGTTTAAATATTATTTTAAGACTTTTTTTTATAGATGCGTTAATTATTTTTTAATTTTCTACACTCAGAGAAATGGTATATTTGTCTCCGAGCCTACTAACTCTTTTATTTGTTGCAAATATATTTTATTTCATTTAAATAAAAAATTTATTTGAGCCAATGAAAAATTTATTTATGACAAATAAAATTTTTAATTACGCAAATAATTCAGTAGGCTCTGAGACAAATATACGTTTATTTAACTCAAATATATTTTATTTAGTTGAAATAAATCATTTCTCTGGGTGTAAAAGAATTGAAAATTGTAGTAAAAAAAAAATTCAATGAATTAGGAAAAATAAAATTCGATAAGCAAAATGGGTGGTATAAACAAATTTTCTCGTTATCGATTAATTAGACGAGATAATTCAATATTCAAAGTTTCGGTAGTAGAAAATTTTCCCGAAGCTCGCAATATACCTGTCGTGCATTTACTAATGCGGTGTAATTTATTTTTGAATCGATTTCTATTTTTTTTGCTAGTTTATTTTTTCCTTCAATTTATAAGGTCGAATAATGGTTCTATATATATTCGACGATCACTGGTGATATTAACTATAGAGGGCTTGACGTTTAATTCCGCTATTAGAGCTGCTGGATAATTGTCCTAATTTTACCCGCCAAGAAAATTAACCTTGAAAATTGCATTCTTGTAATTAGGGGCTTAAGTTATTAGACTAGGGAAAAAAGTAGTTTTTTTTTAATAAACGTATTTCACAATAAATAAAAATATAAATTATATATAAATAAATAAAATATATTGTTTATAAATTTTTTTCCAGATGCAGATATCAAGGAAGAACAGTGAATTCTCGGCAACTGGAATCAACAAACAACGGGCAACTTTCTACTATAAGGTAGGATTTTTTATTTTGTTACACACTTTATTTATCGATGATTTACCTCACTCTCTAAATCTGAACTGAGAAAAATGTTTAGTCAGAGCAATCAAAATTTGGTTGGGCCAACAAAATAATTTTGTTGGTATTTAAGCAACAAAACTATTTGATTGAGTCAATCAAAAAATTTGGTTGAGTGTTTTTTGTTGGCATAACAAAAATGTTTGGTTAGCTCAACCAAATTTTTTTTATTAGGTCAACAAAAATGTTTGGTTGATCAAATAAACAGTTTTTTTTGTAAAATTAAAAATTTTATTCTACCTTATCTCTTATCTTTTTTATTTATTTCATTATTTATTTATTATCAATTTAACATTGAATTTATATTTACTGTTCTATTAAGCTATGAGCTGAGGGCGAATCAAATTATTTTGTTGTCGCAACCAAATTTTAGTTAGGACAACAAACGATCATTTGGTTTTTTAGACCAAACTATTTTGTTGTGATAACCAAATTATTATGTTGTGGTAACGAAATTTTGGTTGGAATTTAAAAATGTTCAACCAAATAATTTTGTTGGCATAACCAAATGTTTGGTTGAGATAACTCTACGACTTTGTTTCAGTCAACCAAAATTTAGTTGCAAGAACCAAAATCGCCTAACCAAACAATTTTGTTGCAAACACTAAATTTTTTTTCTCAGTGTGAATTACTAAAGATGTTTACTAATTTGAATTAGTGACTCACTTTTTGCTTCTGAATTAGTAAAATTTTACTAATTATTAGTAACTTTTACTAACAATTAGTAAAATTTAACTAATTCTAAAGCAAAAAGTGAGTCACTAATTTAAATTAGTAAACATTTTTACTAATTCAGATTTAGAGAGCAGAGTTAGAAATTAAAAATTAGTGATTTTTTTCCCCAAAAATATCGGATGTATAAAAATACGATTTTTAAGAACTGAAAATTTTGTCAAAATTCATTTTGGAATAAAGTATGTTAGCCTCTTTTACATATATTGGATCTCTCTCTCTCTTTCTATGAGAAATTGAGAAGGAACTCGGTCCGAGAATGGTTTTAGCAGGCACTTTAGTTTCCCTTCCCTGCACGCGTCGATGAGAGATAGCTCTCTCCCCATTTTGTTGGAAAGTCAGAAGAAGAACGAAAACTATCCCAGAGGGCAAAAAAAAAAAAGAAAAAAGAAAAAAAAATAGTAGAGAGAGTATAAAACGCGAATATGCTTTACTCCATTTTCGACGATAGTCTTTTCTGTGCTACCCATCTACTTATTGTCGGTAGAGCTCAACGTAAACGAAATCGACGGGAACCTGATCCTTTTTGCGCGAAACAGCCTCTCCATGGAAGCGCTGACAACTGATTTTTATTTCAACGCTCCATTTCTCGCTGTCTTGACGAAGAAAGCTGACAAAGGAGCAATCCAAAATTTATACTCAGAGAAACGCGAAACAGCATTTCGTGCTGAACTCTCGACTTTAAAACTAAAGAGAAAGAGAAAAAAAAGAAAAGAGAATGAGAGAGAGAGAGGGGGGGGGGAGAAGTGCCGGTTTTAACCCCGTTTAAGAGTCCAACTGAGATATGTAGTTTGCCAACCCTCTCAAGGATAATTCTCCAGAAAGAAGCAAAGAAGCATTTTATGTTCAAAGCTCAGAAAACTGTCCGGCTTTCTGACTCTGTAAGTTGATTCACATTTTATGTATTACACGCTCTATGAGATTTTATTTACACTTTATCACGAAAACTTCTCTTTATTATAAGTAATCATCTTTTTCTCACGTTACATTTAATGGGATTTGCAAATATTCTTATTTTTACTGAAAAAAAATTTTTTTTTCCAGTAATAAACTACTGGTTTTGTTATTTTTTTTATACATAGATAATAACACATTGATTATATCGCGTGAAGAAATTTTGCAAGGGCCTTGGCAGGGCCCACGTCGGGAAGCTCAAAAATTGCATGAAACAGGGAATCCAATCAGGGCCACAGTAAAAGCTCTATCCCGTGTAGAAATTGCCCTATAATGGCCCTAGTAGGGAATGAAACGCTGATCAGGTCCAAATCAGGGCGACCAGATAATGTGGATTTCCTAATCAGGGCCACATCAGGCGCGGCGTTTCATTCCCTAATAGGGTAGCCTGATTCGGCCCCGATTTAGGCCTAGGCAAAATTTCCACACGAGATTTGATTTCGATTATAATCAATGAAATTAGGGGCCCGATCAGGGCCTGGTTTGGCCCCGGTTCCCTGTTTCAACCAGGTCAGGGCCAGGTTAGCGAATTTCTGCACGGGATAATAATGGTACTTTCAAGCGTTTTTAATAAATCATTTTTTTCTAAAAAAAAATTATCATTTCCTAATCAGGGCCACATCAGGCGCGGCGTTTCAATCCCTATTAGGGTAGCCTGATTTGGCCCCGATTTTGGCTCAGGCAAAATTTCCACACGGGATTTGATTTCGATTGAAATCGATGAAAACAGGGGCCTGACCAGGGCTTGGTTTGGCCCCGGTTCCTTGTTTCAACCAGGTCAGGGCCAGGTTAGCGAATTTCTGCACGGGATAAAAATGGTACTTTTAAGCGTTTTTAATAAATCTTTTTTTTCAAAAAAAAAATATCATTTCCTAATCAGGACCACATGAGGAGTGGCGTTTCATTCCCTAATACGATAGCCTGATTTGGCCCCGGTTTGGGCGCAGGCAAAATTTCCACACGGGATTTGATTTCGATTAAAATCGATTAAAACAGGGGCCCGACCAGGGCCTAGTTTGGCCCCGGTTCCCTGTTTCAACCAGGTCAGGGCCTAGTTGGGACCCGGTTCCCTGTTTCAACCAGGTCAGGGCCTAGTTGGGCCCCGGTTCCCTGTTTCAACCAGGTCAGGGCCAGGTTAGCGAATTTCTGCACGGGATAAAAATGGTACTTTCAAGCGTTTTTAATAAATCATTTTTTTCTAAAAAAATAATTATCATTTCCTAATTAGGGCCACGACAGGCGCGGCGTTTCATTCCCTAATAAGGTAGCCTGATTCGGTCCCGATTTGGGCCCAGGCAAAATTTCCACACGGGATTTGATTTCGAGTAAAATCAATGAAATCAGGGGCCCGACCAGGGCCTTGTTTGGCCCCGGTTCCCTGATTCAACCAGGTCAGGGCCACGTTAGCTATTTTCTGCACGGGATAATAATGGTACTTTCAAGCGTTTTTAATAAATAATTTTTTTCTAAAAAAAAAAATTATCATTTACTTTAAAAAAAAAAATGAATTTAAAAAAAGCTCAATTTCATTTCCAAACATGAAAATACGAGTAAGTGCAAAAAAAAAAAAAAAAGAAAAATTACAAGAAAAGATTTATTCTTTTCAATTGAAAAAATTGAGAACACATCTGTATTTTGAAGAATGGATATACCTAAAGGAATATTACAAAGAAGATACGAGACTCTAGAGCGAGTGATATATGCAAAATGTAAAGGAATACTGAAATCAATGCGCTCATAACAATAGAATAATGTTGGTAGCATGCATAGTGGAAGCAAAAAAAGGAAAAAAATAAACAAAATGACAAGACATGCATTAAAAAAAAAAAAGTACTAAAACATTTCAAAAACAATTTTTTTTAATAAAAATCATTTTTTAAATTATTAAAATTTAAGAAAGCAGAAATTTTTCTTTTACAATTTATAATAAGTTAAAATGTCATTTGTGGGAGTTGAATTTAGTCGAATTTCGTACTATATAATGTACCCTCTTGCGCGATATATATATATATATGTAGTGAACAAAACTTAACTCGATACAGAAGTGCTGTGAGGAAGTGTAGTATAGTTTACTATCTCTGGATGCTTATTGCACCTGAGCTCACAAAGTCTATATGAGTTTGTAGTTGCTGAAACGTTTCCAGTTTATTAATAATTTATTCTTCTTTCTCTCATATTTACACTATAAATAAATTTAAAATATTATTTTTCTTTTTTCATCTCTCTCAATTTATTGGACAAACAATAATTTATAATTTTCTTATTTGATTTATATTTACAAAAATTTTTAAATTTTTTCTTTAGGCATTTTTAAAATTTTATGTATTTTTTTTTGCACTTTTGTGTGGAAGAAAAAAATTTGAAACTCTCAATTTACCATGTGATGAGTTTTTTCATAATTGAAAACTTTGATCGACGACAGTTTGAAGGTGGAAGAATTGAATCATCTTGAAAATTGCCTATATAGCAGATTTAAATATTATGCTCTGCAAAAGTGTTTGTACGAAGATGATTGGATGTGGGGAGAGAGAGAGAGAGAGGGAGAGAAAGAGAGGGAGTGAAACTTGCCGAAAGTGAAGTATAATGGACCTCCAATGTCTCGAGGGTGCATACGAAATATCTTCTTTCCTTTGAAGGACAAATGTAGTGTCGATAGCTTTTCAAAATACGATCAAGAGAAATGGGAAGAGAATATATTAGCTATACATATAGTATATATATATAAAAAATGACTGATTTTCCAACAAAGAGAACAATGCATTTATCATTTATCATAATAAATCAAATCATTTGAGAATTTTACAATTCTTAAACAGTTATTTATCTTAATATTTCGGTATATTTGTTGATAAATGTCATTCATTCTATACAGAAAAGTAAATTTTTTTTTTTTTTTTATTTTGAAGGTGAAAAAATACAGTTCTATATATCAAGATTTTTCCCGTGGCTATATTGTACAAAGTTTATTTTTAAGTATATACAACGTTTACTTTTTAAGTAGTCAAAAAAGTTTATCTTTAAGTAGATAAAAGTTATTTTGTTCGAAGAAATTTAGTTTTATAAAAGTTGTTTTTTCAAACAAAAAAAAATTTTTAAGTAGAAAAAAAGTCGTCTTGACTTTTAAAGTAGGCCTTTTAATGTGGAAACAATACTCATCTCTCATCATCAAACATATAAAATAATTATTTGTTTTCAAAGATGAAAAAAAAAAATTTTTATTTATTAAAAAGTCAATTTTACAAA